CCTCCCCTGTCACGGCAGAGAGCCGTGACAGGAACGAGAAGTGAGCGAACACCGGCATGTGTTCACTCACCTCCCGATCTACTGAGCCGACCTGTGACAGTCTCCTTGTCACAGGTCGGCTAGAACTATGAGGTGAGTGAAAAGCACTCACCTCATAGTTCTCCTTTAAAAACATTTACATTACTTTGCAGCTGCTTGTTTTTTGAAATACCACCTATAGTCACAAATTTTCTGCTTTTTTTTTTAATTCTAAACAGTATACATACTATACAAGAAACTATCAATAAAAATGTTTCAAACATGTGGTTTGTTTGTTTGCTTTGGTCAGTCATTTGTAGTTCTTCAGGAACAGAGATATTTTCAAAACAACTACAATGGCTGAAATGAATCTGGTGGCGGAAATTTCCTCCGGGTGGTGGGGGCCGCAGGGAGACATACAAGTGGAATGGCTGGTTACACTGGGCACCTCTATGTCTTTCTATTGTGAAGCACCATATATGCAAGTATACAATTGGTGGGAACTTGCATTATTTCCCCAGTTGTATTCTGAGCTGCCTCATACAGAGGACATATTGCATATATCCACAATATTGCTCCAAATGTTCACTGTGCCTGTAATGGTGCAGCTTCTCCAAATGTCAGTAATAATGCAGCTCCTCCAGTATTCAGATCAGCTCATGCCGTTGGGTATCACTGCCTTCACTGTATCCCCAGTGACCGCTCTCACATGGATCCCGGTCTCCAACCCCCAGCACACAGGGCAGTGCAACAAAGGGGTGTGGTGCTGTGATAACCCATCAACCCAATATAATCTATTAGAAAATTCTCCCTCTTATGTAACCTATGACTTAACATTTCTTTTCCTTTTAAACCATGGCCTCCTCCCTAACTCTAGAAGTGATTTGCATCATGGCTGCATCGTGACCTATTCACGTACAAACACATTGTCTGTAATTTTAGTATAATACTAAACAATAGAGCAATAATGTTTTTTCTACTTTTAGTCTGCAACTCTAAACTGTTATGACAGCCTGAATATAAGAAGCCAAAGCACCCCCTACATGTACCATGAGTTCACAAACTGTGCCCTGCATTATTTAATTGCTAGCCATGCTTGAATGACAAAATAAGCCCCAGGATAAATCTGGCCAGCCTATCTTAAATTGAACCTGTACATGCAGAGCTAATCAACAGGTTACACTTTAATGCGAACCTCCCCAGCAGCATACTTGCCTTTGTTTTGTTCAGCCGTCTGGAGTGAAGGTAACCCTGTGTAAGCTACATGCAACTTACACAGGGATATGGGCACCAATTGGTGACTTGCAAGATGCAGGCTAGTTCTGCACCCCAACCAGCTCCATTTCTGTAAAGTATAGACACTCTAGGGCAGGCGTCTCGAACCTCCGGCCCTCCAGCTGTGGTGGAACTACAAATCCCATGAGGCATTGCAAGATTCTCACAGCCACGACTCTCGGAGAGATGCATCATGGGATTTGTAGTTTCACCACAGCTGGAGGGCCAGAGGTTTGAGACCCTGCTCTAGGGGATGGGTCTCAAACTTAGTTGGGGGCCACTGGACACATTTTCTCCTCCCGTGGGGGTCCACTTGCCAAATTTAAAAAGATAATTATACTTCAAAATAAAATTTAAAAAAGGAGAACTATGAGGTGAGTGCTTTTCACTCACCTCATAGTTCTAGCCGACCTGTGACAATGAGACTGTCACAGGTCGGCTCAGTAGATCGGGAGGTGAGCGAACACATGCCGGTGTTCGCTCACTTCTCGATCCTGTCACGGCTCT